TTCTCGCACACAGGGAAGAGGAGGAGGGCGGCGGCAGCTGTTTCACTAACCCCGCGCAGGTTACTAATTCCCAGTTTATTCACCAGTGAAGCAGCAAAACAAAGCAAATGGCCGCGAAGGCGAAATGAAACGGAGACTCCTGTGACTCATGCGGCGTGCTAAGTGGACTCCAGTCAATCAGTGAGTGGCAGGCTGGGCTGGCTTAGATTTTTAGAAATAGATGGGGGAACTAACGAGCGAGCTAGCGGCAGCTGATGGGCGGGGGAGCAAGCAAGCCCCAAAATAAAGCGGGGTTTTTTGAGAACCGGGCGGGACGTGGGAAGAATGATGAAAAGTCATGCCTGTCCCGCCAGATGCGGGACGTCTGGTCACCCTACTCATAGACTCAGGCTGCACTCTGTATTTAATATGCATTCAAATGGTGCTGAAGCTGGGGATATGAATAAAAAGCTGTCCTAATACATGAAATTCAAGCAGGTGGATGGCTCACATAGGGATTTCCCCAGCGATACACCTGACAGAGCTCATGCAACTAGAGATAGGCCAGCACCAAGAAGCCATCCAATTTATGGTAGCACCGAAAATGATGGAGGCAGTAATACTAGGGTTGTGACCCCCTACTATATAGTGATGAAAAAGAGAGAGATGAGTGAAGATGGGCAACACCCTTCCTCAACAAGAAAACCTGGTGGAGAGGCAGAGTGGTAGAGAGTCAAGAGGGGTGAGGATAAACACTTGAAAGCCACCTCTGTGCAGCCACCAGGGATTCCCGCACATCCCTAAAAAAGACATGGGGGAGGTGTTCAGCAAGAAAGAATGTGATGTCCTACCCCCCCCCCCCCCCCCACCACACTGACTATGCTATAGAAATCCTGCCAGGAGCGAAAGTAAAAACCTATTTAAATTACAGTGTCTCTGTATGCTGGTTTGTGTGTTCTCCAACACCACTATCACAACGCTTCTCTGAACGCACTCGCTCTCCCAACGGGGAGCTTACCTAACAATGGTCTCATTTTTTTCTAGTTGCATTTCCTTAAGGATCCTTTTACCTTGCCCCATAATATAAGGGACCTTAAGTTATCATTAATAATACTGGTGTTAAAATGTTTTATTTCTAAAGCTGAAAGAATTCAACAGCTGTACAAGGTACAAAATCACAAATGGGAGTAGAATAGGTGCATTAATATATACTCTCCTCCAGGTGCTGTTCAAATTATACATTCACTCTTCTTAATAGATATAAGCTCACTCAGCAGCACAGTAAGCACTTTCCTAGCTTAGTGTAAAAGAGAATAATGAAATGAAAGAATAATGATACAGGTAGTTGAGTTACAACTGTAATGGAAACTGTCCATCATTGCCATAACTCATGACCATAATAATTTGGGTCACCTATGTGGGAAGCCCTGCCCAGAAAAATGAAATATTTTAAGGAATATTAAAAAAGGCAGAATATTATATTTCCCTAAATGAGAAATGGAGAAATACGTTTTTAGAGGCAGGAAGCAGCCCCCAAGTCTTTCTTAATAGCTCACAGCAGATGCCGGCACTTAAGAACTTATTGAAAGAAGCCAATTATCTAGATGGCTTTATTCATAAGCAAAGCAAATACTGCGGGCAGAAATCCATTCAAGACAGGATATTTTAAAACTGTTTGCAGCAAAGTTTGACAGGTAACAAAAGCAGAGTGATAGGATTAGAAGCAGCCCCTCACCCAAGATTCAATACAGGACAAAAGCCATTAGCTACAATAGGAATTGCCCAACATCCTTTCAGAACACAAGCCCCTTCATTGCATCCCCAGAGCAGTCCAAACTTCAAAGTCACAGAAGCCTGGGAGCTCAGATAAACAATAAACGAGAGGTTGACCAGATTAGCTCAGACAAGCACCTAGGATTTGAATTTCCTCTTTTGCCTAGAGCCAGCTATGATTCCTACATAATCCCTACATGACCCCCATAGGGATCTGATAACAGATTTAATAGAATATTAAAGGACATGTTCTTGCACAGGAACAGGAAGCTCAAATACAAAGCCGAAAAAAGGTATAAAACCCACCCACTCTCAACTCCATTTTCTTAACTGCCCAGAACTGCCCAGAATCACATGTGGTTCTGCTTTCCAATCAGCCTCCAGGCTTTCAGTGTCTTTCTCCTTAGAAAGTGAACTAGATGGATATATTTTCTTTCAACACCCACATGGCCATTCTGATTTTATGACGTTTGTCATCATGATTAAGTGAACCAATGTTTGCTAGCATTAAAGCTGCTGAAAAGTAAAAATGCCAATTTTCAGAAAAACCATCATGGTCACATGATTGCAGAATGCTTAACGTGGCCACAAATGCAAATTCAGGTAGTTGCCAGGACTCAACATTGATTGTCTCAATCAATCCATCAATAACAAGAACCTCGAGAAGAGTCATAGCACCCAGTCAAAAACAGTTGGGTGTCAGCCTCTGCTTTGCTACTGCTTCGGCTGCCATTGAAACGGGGAGGGGGGGGGCATGGTATTTGGGAGGGGAATCATTGTTGTGCTGGAGGAAGTTTCTAGACACTGAACTGACCACCTTACTGCGCATGTCGAGGAGGAGTGTTTCCTGCCAAGGCCAACAGTCCAGCATTCCATCCTGGTGATGCCTTTCGAAGTTATCTCACACCTGACATTTGGGAGAATTATGATTGGACTGTGCACGGGGATGCCAAGGGGAGGGGAATGAATTATACAATATATTATTCACTTTTGTGCCTAATTAACCAGACTTAGCTTAGCTTTGCAACTGTTCATTTATAATTAGTAAAAGTACACTTGATTTCAACATCCAGTAGTTTTCTTTCCTGATTACTGAATGAAGAAATGCTGACACTGGGGAAATAGCAAGCTCCGGCGAGCTCCAGGAAAATCCAGCTGGCAAACCGTCGAGAGACAAGTTCCCCAGCAGGTCCAATTCAAAGCTCTCTGGAGATTGGCAGCGGGGGTTGCAGCCGTATACGTATGACTGCTCTGGAGATGGGCATCTGGAACAAGATTTGTGTATGTGTGGAGAAACGGATGGAGTGTTTGATATGAAGGAAGATTGGCCAATGTAAGAGTAAGAGAAACAAATTTTGGAGCTTAAAAATTTTCCGGAGCTAAGCTAGCGTCTAAACATCACTCGGAATACGGAGGACAGAAAGAAAGGAGGGGAAAGCTAACGGTGAGAGAGTACTGAGACCAAGAACAACTTTGTTAATAAATTTGGAATTGGAAAAACCTAAAGCTAAAAAAAAAGGTGGGGGGAGATCAGGAAAATTGGAATATGTACTTTGAACTTTTGGTTCGACTATCGACAAGATTTGACAAATTAGTGATTTGATTACATAAAGAAACAACAAAAGCCACCTACTGGAACGAGGAGACCTAATATCATCTTGGAACAAAGGAATAGAAGAAGGGTGTGGTCTGTCTTTTTACCTGACTATTTTGTTTACACTGGAAGAAAATATAGAACTTTGGAAAAGGATTGGATTATCTTGGGATCTGATATCAAAGAGAAGAACTAAGGAGGACTAAATTAATTGTGGTAAAATATAAAAATATTAAAAGTGTATTAAATTTGATCACGGAGGGTGAGATGTTAGAGGAGTTGTTGGAAATGCTAAAAAGTGCACAAGCAACATTAAAAGGTAACAAAGAGGTAGAAAAGGAACCAGAAAAATTGTTGAAAGTGGAGACAGGAGGAGAATAGACAATCAACATAAATGAACAAGGAATTAACAAGATAGAAATGGAAAATAAAACTCAATATGGTAAAGGCACAAAAAGAGGGCATCTGAAAAAGAAAGTAGCCAAAAATAAAGAGAGAAATAAAGAGAGATGGAAAAGAGAAACTTGGGGGAAAGATACTCAAAAAAATCTATCAATAAGTGATAGAGAAGATACAGATGAAAAGATATATGACACATAATAAAAAGAAAAAGAGAAAAGAAAATTTAGAAATAGGAGAATAGTAGAATGTAGAAAGAGTAGAAAGAGATTGTTATCAAGGTAAAAATATGTTTTAATTAGAATGTATGGGAATTATATTAAGAACCTTAAAGCTGATAAAAATTGTTATGTTGATTATATGAAACTTGAAATTTAAAGATTCATATTGTTAATGGAAAACAATATAAAATTTGAAATTTGAAGATTCATATTGTTAATGGAAAATAGATGTAAAAGAAATGATAAATTGTTTATTTTTAAAGAGAAAGAAAAACTATATTGTTTGTACATGTTAAAAACTAGAAATTGGAAAATAGGAGAAGAAAAGTAATACGGCTAAAATGGGAAATAATGGGAATATAATGTAAAATGAATTATGTTTTTTGGTGAGAATGTTAAAGGAGAAATTAAAGGGCACTCTGTTCACAAAAGAATTTTTATTATGTAACAAAAATAAATAAATAAATAATTAAAATAAATACCAAGAACCTCAAGGTACAAACTATAATGGCAAACTATAGTTATAATATATAGAAACCATTTCATCGAACATTTACATTGGAAAAAATGAACATGCCAGTTACAACAAAAAAGTTGTACAATCCTTTCTGTAGTCATTCCAAAGCCCCATCCACAAGATTTCTTCCCAGATTAACAGATGTAATATAGTAGTTTTATCTTATCTTTTTAAGATAAGACAATATGCGGTTGCTTTTGTTGCATCGGAAACTTTCCTCGGATTTACAGATTATATGATTATAATAACAGCATTATTTGCAAGAGAAACCATCTTTCCTTAACTTGCTTCCTCCACCTCCTTGTACTTATAAGCACCAGGAAGTTTCACAAAATTTAACATTTCGAAATACTGGGCAGAACCAGAGAAATAAGTAAAAGAAAATTGGGTGGAGCTATGTTAAAATCCTTTGGAATAGGCGGAGCCAGGTCACTGCGACTGCGGGCGCGTGGACATGACGTAAATGATCCGAAAGTACCATAGAGACTTGGAACTTATACGTAGAATCAGGAAGTGAGTTGCGGACAACGGTTAGGCAGTATCTGGCGTAGCGTCGTGTCGAGGTAGAAAATTAGTGGGTAGTGGGTGGGAACGAGACGTGAACGAGAGAGGAACGAAGAAGATGGCGTCGTTTATTACCGTGCAACTAAAGAAAACCTCGGAGGTAGATTTGGCAAAGCCTCTTTGCAAGTTCATACAACAGACCTACCCGGGTGGAGAATCTCAGGCCGAACATTGCCGAGCCGCCGAAGAACTCAGTAAGCTGCGCAAGAGCGCGCTCGGGCGCTCGCTCGACAAACACGAGAACTCGCTGGAGACCCTCCTGAGGTGAGGCGCACGGAAGACGGGGGGGTGGGAGGAGGGCACGCAGGTGGGCACGCAGTGAGGCTGCGCGTGGGCCTTGCCTGCTGAGTTGCGAGCAAGTAAACCGAGCCAGCCCCCGAGCGGAGGCGGGCGCCATGCTGTGGCGGCGACAACTGGCCATCACGCTACCAATGGGTGGATGAATGTAGAGGCGACGGCTTGGATGCTTTCCAAACAGCACTCCTATTTGCCTTTAAAAAGAAAAACGACAACGCGAATTACATCGGTTTTGTGTTAGTTGAGTGTGGATTAGTAGCTGAGAGTTAATATAAAGGACCCGACGCTCTACTGCTATCCTTGAGCGTCTTCGTTGGGCATCTTTGAATAGAAGAGACGAACTCATTCCTGGTGCTTTGGCGATCCTTAGGGCAGTAGAAGCAGATGCGGGCAAAGTGATGCGCCCCGTTCTTCTAGGTTACCTTTTCTTCCTCCTGGATTTATTTTGTGACTAATATTTGGGCACAGCCTCCCCCCGCCCCCAATAGTGGGCATTCTGGGAACCAGTTCATTCTTAATTCTTCACAGTTGGATTATGTGCATAAGTTGGTTGAAGGATGTATGAGTTCACCCAAAGACTTAAAGATGAATAGAGAACTTGAGTGGCCCTCTTATACTACAGTATAGAGAAAACTGACCAGGAAGTTTATGCGATTGTAGATTTCTTTATGATATTTATGTATATGTGTTCTCCATCTGGGCAAATTTTCTTTATCTTTAATGGTTGTTCGGTGAAATTTTAGATTGTTGTTCTATTTATGCGCTTATCTTGTTTGAAAGCATTCACAAAAGATGTAGTTTCTAGAATTATATGAAGTATATTTAATGAAGTAGAAATTAAATCTGTTTTTGAAATTGTTACTCCAATAAAATTTCTTGAATTGTCACTAATTTGGCAAGTGTTAAGTTTTCCGGATGATGATTTTACAAGGAGGCCAAGTATAATGTTCCTGCAAATGTATAGTATGTATATACATTTCTTTCATGTTCTCATTATACGCTAAATAATTATAACAACAATAGTATTCTAGAGACAATTTGAAGATTATATTTAAATTATAAATGTTTCTCACTGAAAATCTAGGGTAGATTAATATAAACTAGAAAAAATAGCATTTGGTATTACTTAAATTTTCAATATTTCTACTAAATGCCTTTATGAAATACATTGTTATGCACAGATTATTTATATATAATGTATACAAATATTGGTGTCCAGCAGCTACTCATCTAAAAGTCAAACATCTTGTACAGCATACTGGGTTTTGTAAAAAAATCCATTAAACAATATTTCTTACTAAAAATTAATATGTGGGTAGTGTGCAGAAACCTAGACTGGTTCTTATTAAGATGGCCTGAGCATTAACATATTTTCTAATTAACTCAGTTTCTTTGATTATTGATTTATGACACAAAATAGTGGGCATAGGTATTAAACAGCATTTCTGTGCCACTCTGTTCCAAAATATTGTGATTATGAATCAGTGACCCATGCTTAAGACAACCATAATGTCAGCCTCTGGTTTGCTGCTTGCTTTCGGCTGCCATTGAAACGGCGAGGGGGGGCATTGTATGTGGGTGGGGAAGTGTCAGAACAGGATTGACTGTAAAATGGAGGTGTTCTCACTATCTACTGCGCATGCTGCAGATAAAGGATTTGCCACCAAGGCCAACTGTCCGGCATACCAGCCTGATGATGCTTTTTGAAGATGTCTCCCACATGACACCTGTGGGGTGTACGGATTGGGCTATAGGATGGAGTTACCAGGGAGAAGAGGTTGGGTCACATATTGATACATATGCTTACGCACGCTTTTGCCTCAGATCTTGCTTTGCC